TTGAAGAAATATGATACATAATAAAACTGAAGAGAGTCTTGAACAACGACCTCTATCAGACTTGGGGGGAAACAGCAGAAACTGGGGTTGGGACATATGGAGGGGTGCTTGAAGAAAGGGATGGGGAGAGGAATGCTCAAATATTTTAATGGTTTTTGCTCATATTCCATATATTTGGTGAAATTTGATATTTTTTTCCAAAAACAGAGGGTCGGAGGAGGTCGGCCCGGCGCCTAAGACTAGGTTCCCGACTCTAAGATTCTACTCGGGCAATTTTTGATTCCGAGATTTACAAACACAACAGTTCTGACTTCTGATCCTTTGTCCATAAAAAGAACCAACAATTTATTTATTATTTCAATCGAGTTGTTTTAATTTTAATAACAGACCAAATATTTAAGTTTGTCTTCAAAAGATGGCATGGTGTAAAATATTATAATTGCTTCAAATTATTTATTAAATAGCGTATTTTTATCATTATCAACGTCGCAAACCTGATAAATATTTTTAACTATGAATTTTGGTAGCTTAAATAATCTAAATCAGAAATATCACAGGTTTATACCATCAGATTGCAAAGATATAGCTAGAGATTAGAAAATTAGATTTTGTGGCAGAGGATTAATTCCTAAAGTTTTGAAATAACTTTTACTCTCAGATAAACCTAGGAGGTGAATTTTCCTTGTTATGGAAGCCTTGCAGCTTGTTTTAGTTTAAACATGATCAATGAAATATTAATAAAGATGTATTTAGAGACATAATCGACTTCCTAATGCTAACGGAACTAGAACAAAACCTAAGTCAGAGGTAATACAAATCAGATCTTAAATATTTACTTAGAACTTGGAATTCTATATGAAAATAAATTTGTCGAGTTTGATCATTTGTTTCTTTGTTCCAATAAAAGTTAAATGGGTGTGGGACCTGAATTGGCTACAGTAGTGGATTTTCGCTCGTCAAGACTGACCCCGATACAATCAAAATAGAAAATCTGCTGTGCGAAAAATGCTAGCAACAACAATTAAAGGGAGTTTTCGCGAAATATTAAATGGACAGACCGGCTATGTAAGGTACTTAAACTGAGTATGCATTGTTGTGGTCAAATTCTTTAGAATTCATTTGAGACACATAAAACTTTTTAAAGATCTATAAATCCTGAGTTTGAGCGCAAAGTCAACGTTCAAAATCGTACTTCTGGGTGAATACGTTTTCAGAATTGTTTTTTAATTATTAAATAACGGCGACAAAAAAAGTAAACAAAATTTTCAGTAAACTAATTATTCGTTTAGGAACAGGTTGAGATTAAAAATTAATCTGATCAGCGAAAATGATTAATATTATTCAATTATTAGTTTCTATAATAACTCATTATTCACATGGATTTTCTGCAGATTTTCTGGAATTTTTATTGAAAAGACGACATTGAAGATTTTTTAGAAATAGCTGTCAATGAATTCATAGAAAATAAGTAATTAAATTTAATGATGAAAACGAAATAATTGATTTTAGCATAGATTTATTGACAAATTTCTTTAGAAAAATATGTTCCTAACCAAATAATTAGTTTTTCATCGTCGTTATTTAATAATTTAAAAAACCCGATTCTGAAAACGTACCAACCCAAATTCATGATTTAGAACGTCGACCATACACTCAAACTCAGTAATTATTCATCATTGAAACATTTTTATATGTCTCAAATGAATTTGTCTACAACACTGCATACTCAGTTTAACTACCTTACATAACCGGTCTGTCCCATTAAAAATAATGCAACTCCGTGAATCAGTATTTGTCGTTTTTAACCATTTCCTCCTTACATACGCAACAGATGAAAGTAAAATTAGTAGCGATAAAATCCAAATTTCAGCCTACACCCTACACAGAACAAAACTCGGAAAGAGTATATAACCCGGGAGAAAGTAAGGATCTTCTATGGGAGTCCCTAGATACCCTCCCTCCTGACCTACTCCAAACTTCCAACTCCTCTATTTGTTACAAATAGCATTTGGAATTGATTTCTTAGCGGACAAATGCTGTGGGCTCCATTCTTAAGATCACTAGGCGTAACCAGGATTTAGACATTAAACTCAAAGTCGCTATTGCCGAAACCTGTGCAACGTCAGACATTCCTGGTTACCGCAATAAATCTGGTAACTGAGTTAGCCAAATTAGAAGAAACTAAACATACAATCAACCTTAATGCGTGTCTAAAAAATACTGGCTTCGACAAAAAAAAATTTTTCAAAATTATTGGAAAACCAACAGAAGAAAAAGAAATAAAGGAAGAAATGTGGACAAGACAAATACTAAAATTAGAATTTTTCTGTATTAACTGTATTCAAATTATAAAATTATAAAATAAAAAATAATAAGTTGTAAAAATAAGTATTTAGAATGATGAATCCTGATTTCAGGTTGGTGTCCAGGTTTACAAATCAATCCTGGTAACAGAGGCAGAAATAAAAGTAAGATATTTCGACTTAAAGGAATTTTCAGCGTAATTTTAAAGTGACCTCTCAATGTCAGAGTACCATAAACAATTCACAACGATATCTTTTAACATTTCCAAAATGATAATAATTGTAAGAAAAGTATATTGATGGCAGGTCTTACTTGTTGTTCAAAAAGTATTAAATAATACGTTTTTTCATGCCTCCATGTTACCTGGTAGTTTGTTTCATGCATCCATGTTACCTGGCAGTTTGTTTCTTGCATCCATGTTACCTAGTAGTTTGTTTCATGCATCCATGTTACCTGGCAGTTTGTTTCATGCATCCATGTTACCTAGCAGTTTGTTTCTTGCCTCCATGTTACCTAGTAGTTTGTTTCTTGCTTTCAAATCATAAATTCTAGTTTTAAGACAAGGAATAAAATATGGATTTAAATACATTTCTAAATCATCTTTTTCAATGAAAAGAAATTTTAAACTTGCTTTAACGGTATAATTTTTAGAACTTTGACGACAAATATAAGAAGAAAATCTCAGGTTAAACTCTATATAGGATTTGCAAAATACATATTTAAAGAAAGAAATCAAGATTCAAATTGAATTTTAGACAGGAGAAACCGGAGCCAAACTCAAACCCTGGAGAAACAAGGAAACCTGAGAAAAACTTCAATACTGGAGAAACCAGAATTCCTGAACCATACTCAAACCCAGGAGAAATCAGAATACCTGAACCATATTCAAACCCTGGAGAAACCTGAATACCTGAACCATACTCAAACCCTGGAGAAACCAGAATACCTGAACCATACTCAAACTCTGGAGAAACCAGAATATCTGAACCATACGCAAATCCTGGAGAAACCAGATTACTTGAACAAAACCTCAACCCTGGAGAAACCGGGTTTCTTGAGACGATTGTGGGAGAAGGGTTTAAACAAAATAACTGATAGTTCAGAACCTTCCCTCACTGTGAATTCGAGCAGAGAGAATTTAGAAATGGAGAGAATTAATCTTTCTTTGATTTAAATCTGTCTAAGAAATTTTATCCTTAAAAAATTAAATTTTTTCTTAAATAGTTAAAAGCCATTAAAATAATTGCTGAAGATTCTGATGTGTGATATACAATATACAATATACATATTTGACAATATTTTAGCAAAAAATAAATACACTCTATGGACATTGTTTTTTCGTATAAGCATGGCAAAATCTTAATTTATTTCGTAAATTGAATTAACTCAAATATTTAGTTCTCGCTGATCCAAGAGCTAGGATGGAGATTAACACTAAAGACATTTTTATCCTTAAAGATGGTGGTCATTACTGAGGAGGTTTACACTCAAGGAAGTATAATCCTAGAGTATGGAGGTCAACAATAAAGGATATATAACCCTAGAGAATGGGAGGTCAAAAATAAAGAAAGTATAACCCTAGAGGATTGAGGTCAACAATAAAGAAAGTATAACTCTAGAGGATGGAGGTCAACAATAAAGGAAGTATAACCCTAGAGGATTGGAGATCAAAAATAAAGGAAGTATAACCCTAGAGGATGGGAGGTCAACAATAAAGGAATTATAACCCTAGTAGATGGAGGCCAAAAATAAAGGAAGTATAACCCTAGAGGATGGAGGTCAACAATAAAGGAAGTATAACTTTAGAGGATGGAGGTCAACAATAAAGGAAGTATAACCCTAGAGGATGGGAGGTCAACAATGAAGGAAGTATAACCCTAAAGGATGGGAGGTCAAAAATAAAGAAAGTATAACCCTAGAGGATTGGAGATCAAAAATAAAGGAAATATAACCCTAGAGGATGGGAGGTCAACAATAAAGGGTATAACCCTAGAGGATGGGAGGTCAACAATTAAGGAAGTATAACCCTAGAGGATTGGAGGTCAACAATAAAGGAATTATAACCCTAGTAGATGGAGGTCAAAAATAAAGGAAGTATAACCCTAGAGAATGGAGGTCAACAATAAAGGAAGTATAACTTTAGAGGATGGAGGTCAACAATAAAGGAAGTATAACCCTAGAGGATTGGAGATCAAAAATAAAGGAAGTATAACCCTAGAGGATTGGAGGTCAACAATAAAGAAAGTATAACCCTAGAGGATGGGAGTTCAACAATAAAGGAAGTATAACCCATAGAGGATGGGAGGTCAACAATAAAGGAAGTATAACCCTAGAGGATGGGAGGTCAACAATAAATGAAGTATAACCCTAGAGGATTGAAGGTCAATAATAAAGGAAGCATAGCCCTAGAGGATTGGAGGTCAACAAAAAAGGAAGTATAACCCTAGAGGATGGGAGGTCAACAATAAAGGAAGTATAAATCTAGAGGACTGGAGGTCAACAATAAAGGAATTATAACCCTAGTAGATGGAGGTCAAAAATAAAGGAAGTATAACCCTAGAGGATGGAGGTCAACAATAAAGGAAGTATAACCCTATAGGTCAACAATAAAGGAAGTATAACTCTAGAGGATGGAGGTCATCAATAAAGGAAGTATAACCCTACAGGATGGGAGGTGAATAAAAAAGGAAGTATAAGCCTAGAGGATGGAGGTCAACAACAGAGGAATTATAACTCTATAGGATGGAGGTCAACAATAAGGGAAGTATAACTCTAGAGGATGGAGGTCAACAATAAAGGAGGTATAACCCAGGAAGGATGAAAAGAAATAGGCTTGAGGAAAAATATATCCCTTATTTTTTTTCTAACCCAAATCTTTTGAATCTTATCGTTCTTCCAATCCCCCCGCCCCTAAACAAAACTCAGGTTGCGCCTTTTTTCTTTGTATGTAGGAGTTATGTTTACATTGTGTTACATGTTACTCCACAGGTAGGATTGCACAATTTATTGATTTAATCTGATATTGTATCATTTTTATAGATGAGGGATGAACAGTGATACAAGTGTCTTTGTATAGTCTACCTCTAAATATATTTTAAAATAGAACAAATGAGATCTAAGTGTAAAACACTGGCACAGCAATAAAGGAACTGAAGTCAGAAATTTTGAGTTGTGAATAATCTTGGGATAAAGCATTGATTTAAACCGGCCCACATGTGATATTTAGACAAAGCGATCAAGATTAAGATTACACCCCACAAAGTTCTTAGCTCTGATTAATTACCTCAAACTCTGACTTTTGCAACCTGTTGTTTGATATTTCAAACTTTTATTTTAAACTGAAAATATCAGAGGCCATCAGGTTGCAAAGATAAAAGGATTAGAATATTAGACTTTAAGGTGAATAATAAGTGCCTATAGTTTTTAGAAATCAAGAGGTTCATTTTTGTTTATTATTTAAAAAAAATATATATCTCGTTTTGCCGTTAAACTTTCGAATTTATTATAAACCACCATTAAATATTTGTATATTATAATTATAGATGTGTCATGTTAAAGAAAACTGTAGCTTTAATAACAAGTTAGATGAACATGTTTGAAAGCACTGAAAGAGCTATAAAAACTTCCCAATTAAGATTAAAATGGGGAACGTGAATGTTCGGATGCAGAAGAATAAAGACGCTCTCTCAGGATTCCAGATTGCAAAACTAACATTTGACTTCAACACATTCTTTGATCTGAACAAAGATGGATACCTCTCATACAAGGTTAGGAAAAAATCTTTGATATGCTCATGGAGCTACGGGGGCTCAGAACCCCCCCCCCCCTAGATCAGTGAAATTTTTCCAGGTATTTTGGGGCCTAAAAGATGTTTAGCCCCCACCCCCTAGAAAGAAAGAAAAAAACTAAGCCCCCTGGATAAATTCTTGAATAAAATAGTTATCTTTATCTTTTTTTGTCCCGACTGTAATCTTTTCGACCGAGTTTTATGAACTAAAATAATCACATTATGATGAGAAAATTAATCAGGATTTGCCTATATTGAAGGGACTTTAAGCGTAATTTGAAATGACTCTCCATGCAAAGATGACAATCCCCGATTCATAACGATACCCTTGAAACAGATATCTCATCAATAATGTGTTATAAAATATGGTCGATTTTCTAGGTTTAAAAATTTTTAACTCTAATTATTTCTTTGTATTTTCTTGCAGTAGAAAGGGGCAAGTCAACTTTTGTAGAGAGACCAATATCGAAAATAATCGGTTTTCAACATTTAAAAACTCTCTTCAAAAATCAGTAGACACCATTATTTGTTGATTTGCTCTTTCAAGGATTTCCAGTGGGCTAAAGACAAGGTTTGCTTCATGTCTGGATGGAAAATAGACTCGGAGAAATATAGAAGGACGGAGAAACTCTTCTCAGATATCTGGGTAGGTTTAAACATACATGAATCATGATTCATTCATTGATTAATATTAAAAAACTAGGCAATTAGGGAGCTTCCTTTCTTGTAAATAAATTTAACTTTTAATTATTGCTCTGTAAGTCAGCCATTTATAATCATTTTCACATTTTGGTGGATTTTTCTTTTCGAATTTGGGCATTTTCGAAAAAAAATACCAGCTATTTTCCAAGATTTTTTTTCTCCAATTATGATGTCCCATAACCCTTCCCTGCGTCAAATATTCTTAAAAACTTTGAGTTTGTGGTAAAAACTCAATTCCGTTTATCGGTTACAGATAAAAAACAGACCCACAGACAAGCAAACTATATATATATATATATAGATGAATTTAGATTAGTCTCCTGGAGATAGGAGACATGGATAACGATGGCAGGATAACGATTGTGGAATGGCTTCAGCTTTGGGAAAGGTAGGAACCATCCTATACTTTCTCTTGGTAAGGCAGTTTGAACGCTGAAGTTCAAAACTCAAAAAGTTAAAATTATATGACATAACTACGATATGAATAATAATATGGATGTTTAAGTTGATGCATCGGTCTAAAAAAAAACATAAAAAGCAAAAAAGGTTCATAATAAAATCTGGTTGATTTGGTTCAGCCGTGTCTAGAATAGTCATTGGTAAACGACTTAATATTCAGATATAAGAAGGAGTTGTGTTACAAAGAAAGAGGAACAGAAAACTTTCTGCAAAAGTTCTACACAGATAAAAATCCAGACTTCAGGTAAAAAGAATGAAGTTGAATATGTGGAATAGGAAGACGACTGTTAGACTGATTAAAGATTGACCAAGGACCATGACACACAGCAATTGAGAAGTGTACAGTGATTGTACAGTGTACATTGTACACTACAACAGTGTGCACAGACTTCACTTAATATAAGTTGAGTGCCTATTCCACAGTTTTCTGAGTTTCTCTGTATCTTTTATCGTCTAGACTTCTGAAGATGACAGGAGAAAAGTTGGGAGACGATCCAATAAATCTGATGAAGAAAGGGTAAGAATAAATCAGGAAAATAACACATAAACGGCAAGAAACAACAAAAACATTTGTTTTCTTTAATTATTTAAAGATGCAGCAATATATACAGCTAATGAACAGACAATGCTCACAGGGTGTTTGATAAATTCAACTGTCCTTGATCAGTTTTGATAAATAAACACAAAGGATTTCTTCTGCCAGTTGAAAATATACCCAGAAGAAAGATTTTCTGAATTTACTTGATTTTCATAATGAATAACAGATTATAGTCACTGTATTATTAAAAACAAAAATTAGAAATCAAAGCCCTAGAGTTGCACCCGTGAGCACAGTTCACAAAAATTTACAAAGTATTACGCCTGAACGAAGGAAAGCCAACCGTTCGTTATGGCTTATTTCTTTTGCCAGGGGCAAGATTTTTCATAGTTTTTTGCAAGTTTAAGTTTAACTTTTAGAAAACTGAACAACGTTGAACACATTATAAACTGCTCAGATTTTTGTAGAAACTCCGTAAAGCCTAAACAATTCTGAATGTTTAAAACCGGGCTAACTCTATCAACTTCAGAAGTCCAACTAAATGTTTTATAATAATTCTACAATTTTTAACTAATAAAAATGTTATTTAACCAGGCCAAACCTAGTAGATGATCTGGACACTATTCTACCCTCATGGTTACATGAATATTTAGTTTTCAGGTCGAAAATAAAGAAATTAATAAATATTTAAAGATTTACCATCATTAAATTGGACTTTAGAGTGTAGATGTAATTTTAATTGGACCTCCATTTACTCTTTAAAGCTTTGTCTGATCTTTAATGAAGGAGATGTTTTCATTGTTTTCTATTGCAACTTGTGCACTTTTACTTAATATTCAATTTATGGAAAATTATCCGAAAAATGACGATATCGTTTAAATTTTTGATCGGGCATCTGCCTCTCAAACTGGGAGATCACTGGAGATTACAATTCATTTAATTCAAATTTATATTATTATTTACAAATATATAAATAGTTTTCATGTAGGAAACTATTTAACACTAATATTTAAATATTCATAAAGTAAGTTGAACACCAATCCTGAAATATTTAATTGATATTCAATTATGTAAAATATATTTGCGCTCTTTATAGCTCCCAGTGTTTTTTAACAATACAGGGTTTTGAAACCAAACATTTTCGGTTTTACACAAAAATGTATTTGAGACAAAATGCGCTGAATTACAACTTTAACTCATGAGTAAGTTAAAAAATAAACATATTATTGTTTAAAAGGTTTGACTTGTTGGATCGTACTGGGGATGGAAGAATAGATACGGAAGAATATGAATACGTCCTCTCAGGTGATTATAAAAGAAATTATTATTGCAGGAAACGTTAGTTCCAAACCTCAATTGGACCATTTCAAACACTCGTTTTAGAACTAATGTCCCCTGGATTGTATCAAACAGGATTTATATATCAGAGTTCGGAATCAGAGAGAGGGATGCAAGACAAGCCTTTCTAATCTTTACACAGGCAAAATAAATATCAATTCTTGAAAAAACTTGAAAAACTTTAAGGGACTGTTGGCGATGATTTCAAGTGAACCTCAAATTAAAGTGTTACATGTACGATTCACAATGGCAAACCTTTATCTGAGAGACTATGGTAAAGATGTATTTTTATCTGGAAATAGGATAAATTCCTATAAAATTTTCCTTCGTTTAACCGCAAACCACTTTTGTATAAAATCCAAAATGGAAAAATATCAAATTTCAGGTTAAAAAAAACAAGGATATCTCCATCATTGTAAATGGTTTGTCACTTGAAATTAGGTCGATAGTCCCGTTAACAAAATAAATTCATGGTAAACAAATGAAAAAGAGTTTATTAATGCTATTGTAGAATTCTCTGGAACCTTTGAGCTTTGAAAGGTTCGTGAACTTGTTCGAGGAGTACTACCTCTCCGACAATCCATCCGACCTCGGCAACTTTGTGAACGGAGTCCTTGAGTTCAAGTTTGACAACATCCAGGTCGGAAAGATAATGATTACTCGTTTCAAACTCTCAATTTATAACCCCTACATCTTTCGAACCCGATGTCATACACCTACTACATTTCAAACTATGAATTCTGTTAAATCAAGCCTTGAAATATCATATGTTTACACCATCAGGTTGAAAAGACATGATTGGAAAATTAGACTTTGAAACGAGTGATTAATTGCTTTGAAGCTTATGATCACCATGTTTTCTGCAGATCTCCTCAATGATATTACAGGAGGAACCTTTAATACAGGAGGAACCTTTAATACAGGAGGAACCTTTAATACAGGAGGAACCTTTAATACAGGAGGAACCTTTAATACAGGATGAACCTTTAAATAACGAACATAAAATCTAAAAACCAAAACTCTCATATTCCCAGTTTTTTATCATTATTTGTAATTTTTAGTAAAGTAGAATATTTTTCATGAACTTTTAGCTTTTCAGTTAAAATTATTTTTTAATCGTGCAAACTCCCATGAAGTCTGGTGACTTGATTTGCTTAAGTTCAGTGGCTTGCTTAAGCCAACGTTCCACATTTTTGCTTTTTGCCTAGATCTACAAAATAACCCAGAAAAAATTAAGTGATATAGCCTTTTTTTAGTATTAGCAGTTTTAGCACTTAATAATTGAGCTAAACATTTACAGATTTTTCCATGATTTCACATTGCTTTGGCAAAAAAAACTGATTTGTGTTTTAAAAACCAAACATTGATTTATTGGGACATTCCTTATAATTGTATAGGTCGAGGCTGAGGAAGAGGATGAGGATGACCTCCTAGAGGAGTACAGTGCCCACAAGGAGGACGATCTCATGAATAACGAGGCTGAGATGGTTAAACATAAAGAGAAGGAGAAGGAGAAAACAAACAAATTTAAAAAGATATTTCGAAGAATCAAGAAGAGTATAAAACTAAACTGTTTACAATTCTCTAGTTTCTAGTATTTGACATATTCATAATAAACATGGATTTATTTCTATTTGTCTTATTTTTGTGAATAAATACAACAAAATGAATATTATTTTTCTAATTAATTTTGTTCCTAATAAAATAAATTAAAAATGTCAGGATATTCTGAAGTGAGTTTTTTATTTACATTTTAATATAAAAATTGTTTCAAAGGAAAGACATAAATTAGACCACCACACCAAATTTTCTAATCCCCATATCTTTGCAACCTGAAAGTGTAAACATATGATATGTCTCTGACATCTGGTTTTAAGGATGTATGGATTAGAAAATTTAAGTTTATGGCATAGACTCAATTCCTTTCAATTAAATTTGAAAATAATTTTAAATTAATTGAAAATCATCATTTAATGAATTGAAAAATTCATTTAATTTCCCAAGATTTTGAATCTATTTTCGCAATTTTTTTCCAAAGACTTTTCTGAAAGTTTGCCAAAATAAATCTGTTTAAAGACATTGCCAATGTAATAAGCATATAGAATTTACTGTTTACTCTCTCCCAATCCACGATTTTTTTCAATTTTTCATTTCACATTGTCTACTAAATTCCTCAAAGCTGGGAAAGATGCTTTGTTATTGTTTCAAATGAAAAATGTTTATTTCTGATAACTTCCTATACGTTTTCCTGCAGTAAAAATGCGCAAGTCACTTTTGTAGTCCACAATTAAAAATAATCTGTTTTCCAATTTTTAAACATGGATACCTAATTCCTACTTGATCAGACAAAGCTTTTAAGGAAACTTTTTTGAATCGAGCATCTTTCCATGGAGGGTCACTTGAAATTACGCTTCTAGTCCCTTTAAGAACGAAACATTGTGTGCATTTAGTATAAGTTAAGACTAACGCCTAATGTCAGCAAGGGTTTCAGGAGTTATGATTTTTTCATTTAGTGAGAATAAATTTTACTATACAGTAAATACCCGTTGTTCTAACGAGTTCCAAATTCGATGCAAATCGGTCATGAGGTTCAAGAGTTTAATCGAACATTCAAGATTTTATTCAACATTTGGGGGGGGGGGGTGGAGGTTCGGCGCACACACACACCCCTCCTCCTTTGCACACATATCCAAGATAATATTGTAATTGCTGAAGCGTATTATTTTACTTTAGTTGTATCATGTATGTTATAATTATGTTGAGTATTCATAGATCGTTTTCTCCGGGAACAACTTTCACTGAAACCGAACCTTAAATCTTTCTCCGGGAACAACTTTCACTAAAACCGAACCTTAAACCTTTCTCCGGGACCACTTTTTACTGAAACCGAACCTTGAAACCTTTCTCAGGGGTCACTTTAACTAAAACCAGACTTGAAACCTTTCTCTGGGACCACTTTTACTATAGCCAAACCTGAAACCTTCCTCCGGGACCGCTTTAACTAAAACCGAACCTGAAACCTTTCTCCGGGACCATTTTTAATGAAACAGAACTGGATACCTTTCTCCGGCGACCAAATTCACTGAAACTGAACCTGAAATCTTTCTCTGGGACCACATTCACTGAAACCAAACCTGAAACCTTTCTCGGGGACTCCTTTCACTGGAACCGAACTTTCTCTGGGGACCACTTTCACTTAAGCTGAAACTGAAGCCTTTCTCCGGGAACCACTTTCATTGAAATTGAACCTTGAAGTATTTCTCCGGGACCAAATTCACTGAAACCGAACCTTAAAACCTTTTCCGAGGACCCAGTTTTCACTTAAACCGAACCTTGAAACCCTCTCCGGGTTCACTTTTACTGAAACCGAAATTTGAAACGTTTCTGTACATTTACCGTATCAATATAAATAAAGCATAAAATTCTAGGTTTGTCTATTTTTAGAGAAAGTTGGAATTTCATGTAAAGAAAAAAGGGATTTTTCACAAAGGAATTGAGTCTTTGCCATAAAACTCGGATTTTCCCATCCCTATATCTTGTTTAACCTGAGGGCAAAAGTCTTTGATATTTCAAACTTAGGTTTTTCGATCTAGAAGAATTCATAGTTTGAAATATCTAAGGTCTACGACATTGGGTTGAAAAGATATAGAGATTAGAAAATCAGAGTTTGTGGCAAAGACTCAATTCCTTTCAAAGTGAGAAGTGGAACGACCGAGATAAATCTTTATAAATACTATTCTTGCAGTATTCGATATTTTAATTGATATTTTATTCTGATATGAAGAAGAACGAGGAACAGGCTTGAATTTAAATTCACTAATACTAATTAATAATTTTTAAAAAGCAGTTTACTCCGAAAGTATGAACTAGAGTTGACTTTTTTTGAATAACATAAAAATGTTGTTGGTAAAAATTCAAATCATGCTTGATAGCCTGATTGCAAACTTTTAAATTAAGAAGTTCAGGACCTTTGATAAGTAAAATTCAAATACCTTTTAATCCTGATATTGGAGTTCTCATGTGATTAATATTTCAGATCGTTAACCAATAAGAGAATGGTATAGGCTATTCTATAGTTAAATTTAGCTTGTCTGGGTGTTTGTCTGTTTGTCTGTTTGTTTGTTTGTATCCAACAAACGTCAAAACAGCTGAACCGATCGGGCCCAAATTTTTTGTGGGACATCACGTGACCACAGGGAAGGTTGATGAATGATAAAATAAAAAAATAAATGTGTTTTAAAGGTTTTTAATTTTGTAAAAAAAAATTAAATTCTTGAAAATCCTCTTAATTTCTAATGGCGCTACGACATTTGCTCTATTTCCATTTGCTCTATGGTCATTTGCTCTAGTTCCATTTGCTCTATCAAGTCATTTGCTCTTTTAAATGTCGTTTTCTGTGTTTATAAACAGTTGAAAAAAATTGTACGCTGTTAAATGTTTTTTAAAGGGTTTTAATTTTGTAAAAAAAAATTAAATTCTTGAAAATCCGCGAATTTCTTTTTTAAACCCGCAAAAAATGTTTCTTCTTTGTTTTGAAATGTAAATAAAAAGAACATTTAAATAGAAGATGGGCGCGAAGCGCCCTAAAAGCCTAGTATATCTATATTTTCTTATTTAACGGGGGGGGGGGGATGTTGAGTTTATTGTTTTAAAATATCAAAATAAAGTTTACGAATTAATGCCCCGTATAATAAAGACGATATCAGCATCTATGTTTAACTTAACATATTAGTAAAATGAAGCAGATATGGTCCTAAACCGGTAAAATCATTAAAAATGTTCAAACCCTTGTTAATTATATTGAAAACGTCCAGATGGTCTATGAAGTATATACCAAAGATAAATCATTATAAAAATTTATAATGTATCGTTCAATCGGCTTTTTTTTTCATAAAATTGTAAAAAACCGTATTTTTTTTAATCATTAAAAGATTAATACATAAATCTTCAATAAAACGAGCACCATTTTCGTGAGGCTACACCTGTTAAAATACGTAAACTTGCCCTTCATTTACACTGAAACAATATCATATGGAGCAAGAATCGTAAAACTATCCTTGAAAAACACAAGTATATAACGATATGTTGGTTAGAGGCAAGTAAAGACCGAAGAGAAAATATTGACGTGCGTTAAAATCACCAGAGATCTCAACGCCGGCTTCCGGGCTCAGGGTAAATAGTTTAGTCACCTGGTCACACTATACTAACCTACACGTGAGATTACAATACGTCCGAGTACAAAACTTGATTCTCAGGACTAATAATGGAAATTTATGTAAACAGTACAGTGAAAATATTAAACTAAAGATTATGTGATACAACGAGAAAATAATGAAAACATGTTCAAAAGAACTATAAAATCAGAAACTTGATCAGAGACTCTACGAAGTTGAAGTATAAATTATGTAAAATGAAGAAAATCCTTAACAAAAGAAACATTTCCAAAATTAATTTCTAAAAAAGTGTTTGAATGAAAAAGAGAAAAACGGTGTCATGAGCAAAAATGAATCTTATTCTGAACCTAATAATCAGGAACAAATCATACAAAATTTAACTCTAAAATTTAAAAAAAGCATGAATTTAAAAATCGAATTCTTACATCTATAATGTTTTTTTGATGCATGATTTCTGAATCAGTTTGTTACACAGTCCTATACTGATGGTGCCCCTCGAGTAAGTATACTCTTTAAATTTTAAATGGTTTTAGTGGTAAATATAGAAAAATATTTATTAGCTCACGAATGTTCAAGTTTGTATTTGATGTATTAAACCAAGGTTAATCGAGAGGAAAAGTGAAGGAATTAGATAACATTGCGCAGATAATTTGATACTTAATGTATATTTTTCAAGATAGAGGAGTTTTAAATACAGAATTGAACAGGAATGAATACAGGTTATCCAACCTGACAGGTTGGATGAGGAATAAATACAGGTTGGATGAGGAATTAATACAGGTTGGATAAGGAATGAATACCGGTTGGATAAGGAATGAATACACATTTGATGAGGAATGAATACAGTTTGGATGAGGAATGAATACAGGTTGGATGAGGAATGAATACAGGTTGGATGAGGAATAAATACAGGATGGATAAGGAATGAAGGCAGGAATTTCTAAGTAAATCTAATTGATTAAACTGTTTGTTTAAGGAACAGGCTACGAGTAAACATTACCCCGACTAGTGTTGTTACAATGATCTACAGAATTATGGAATATGAAAACAAAGACACGAAATATTTAGGTTAGTATAATACACTAGGAGCAGAACAAAACTGATTTAAAAACTCTAGAATTTTTATTTGAAACTATTCTTTTCAAAATCCTCAGATATGGATAAAACAATCTTTTAGATGAAGAAGTTAATCAAGAAAATACTTTGAAAAAGCTGGAGAAGCTGGATGACCCGCCGGTTGATCCTAGTCCTAATCAGGACTTAGAGAAGCTGGATGACCCGTCGGTTAATCCTAGTCCTAATCAGGACTCAGAGAAGCTGGACGACCCGCCGGTTGATCCTAGTCCTAATCAGGACTCAGAGAAGCTGGATGATTCAATTGATCCAAGTTCTGATCCGGACTCTGAGAAAACTAATGTTGCATCTCAAGAAATGTTTTCTTCCACGGGAACATCTACAACTGAATTAACTGAACCTCATGTTGATGAATTCATCGACGATAATGGATTGTTTGATGTTGATAATGATGATGATGAGAACAAGCAGGATGAGGATGAAATAGAGGATGAGAGGGAAGAGATACAATGTGATACTTCTCCTGATTTGAACCTACTGAGAAACGGTTTAGCAAACTCAGGTTAGTGAAAAAAATAATCAAAAATTCATAAACCCATTTTATGTGGTCTGATCGATCTCATCAAAAGGGGCATAATTTTTCCAGAGAGTGGGTAACCTTTTTAACTTTTCAACTGGGCTTAGTCCCAATTTAGGTCTCAATACCCCCTTGGGGCTAACTATTTCAGCCCCCCTACCCTAGTTTACACTTCTATATTCATCTTTAAAAATGAATAAAAACTTTTATTGACTATTTTAAACTTTAATTTTTCGCACAACTATTCGAAGAAGAAGAGCACGCTGGTAATGGTGTTTTTAATTTCATTATCTTCAGTAATATCTTTTATTGTGACCAATGTGAACATTTCAATTTGAATGTGTGTTCAGGGTTTCTGTGGACGAACGGACAGGTTCCATACGAGATTGCCGGAGATTTTAACGCTACTCAGAAGAAGACGATCGAGGATGCTGTCTTGTTCTACAATGAAGAATTCAAAGATTGTATAAAGTGGATTCCAAAGTAATCAAAGAATGTTTTAAAAGGCAAAATTATCGATAATCAATTTAAAAAATCTAATTCATATATCTTTGCAACCTGATTTCACAGACCTTTTATATTTAAAACTTTTAATTCTTTGATCAAATTGTAAAAGTGTGAAATATCCAATGGTTTACAGAATCAGAAAATATAAAAGGATCAGAAAATTTAAGTTTGAGCCGAGTAATCATTTCCTTTTCTTAAAAGCAAAATCATTTACTCGAAAAGCATCATTAAAAACAAACAATTTCATGAATTTTTTTATTACAGGACGGATGAGACAACATTTGTTTTGTTTGAGAACAAAGGAAGTTGTTCCAGCAGGGTTGGAGTAGCTTTTTTTCCTTTCCCTGTCTCCCAATCCATCCTACTTGGTAAATGCTCTCATCTTCCTGGACATGTTAAAGTAAGTTTTTTTTCTCTAAAAATAGAGTTGTGTCTCATTTTAAAAGTATGAGTTTTGAGAAAGGAATTGAGTTTTTTCCCCACAAACTCTTATTTTCTAATCCCAAAATCTTTGCACTCCGATGTGGTTGACCATAGATCTTTCAAACTATTAAATTCTGTTAGATCAAATATTCTAAGATTGAAATTTCAAAGGTTCACACCATCAGGTTAAAATAAAATAGGGATTAGAAAATATTCATATTTCTGGTTTTTCTATAAGCTTTCCGTTTCCCAAAATTTTGAAAATAAAACCCAAATTGCAATTTACTGATTAATATTTTTGTCACTCTTTTCACACATTTTGGCATTTTTATGCTGTCGCAGAATAAACCATGAGATGTGTCAATCACAATTCTTAAAAACTAAAGCCAAAAAAGTGTACAGGTATGGGCTGCGCTACAAACCTTTTTTACCTCAGTAGTTAAAATAAAAGGTCAAGGCATTGCGACACTTTCAAGTCGACCCAGTCTTAAAACTTGGTTCAACGTTTCATTGAGTCTAGGTTTATGTGGTGGAAAGTGATATATTTATTTCATCAACGAAATGAAACAGCTTATGAAATAGGAGTTTTAGATTACATCTTTTCGCATAAGTGAGGTCTTAAAGGGTGTGTTCGCGAAAAATGAAAGGGTGTATAGGCTTAATGCGATAAAAAAGCGCTTTTGATCGCTACTAATCTTACTTCTATCTGTTGTGTCTATAAGGAGAAAATTGTTAAAAACGACTAATACCGAAGAACGTAGTGTCCATACAAATTCAGAAAGATGCAACATACGACTTAGACCGTAAAAAAATCTATTTAATTTCAAACAAATCATTCAGATATCCTTTAGTCATTGAATATCTTTCGCCACATTTGTATATAGTTGATTTTTCATAATATGTTTTGATTTTATTTTTTAAAATAATATTTAGCTTACAACTTGTTTTCGAACATTCCTGGAAAATATGAAAATTTCGTCTTCATTACCAAAAATCCTCTAAACAGGAATAAATGTTTTTATAAGTAACTCTCAGATCATAACAATTAAAACATATTATTAAAAATCAACTATATACAAATGGGGCGAAAGATAATCGATGACTATAGGTTGTAATATCTGAATGATTTATTTGAAATTAAATAGATTTTTTTACGGTCTAATTCGTATGTTGCATCTTTCTGAATTTGTATGGACACTACGTTCTTCGGTATTAGTCGTTTTTAACAATTTTCTCCTTATAGACGCAACAGATAGAATATAAGATTAGTAGCGATCAAAAGCGCTTTTTTATCGCATTAAGCTTATACCCCCTTTCATTTTTCGCGAACACTCCCTTTAAATAATATTTTATTTTAATCAAGAAAATCCTCACTTATGAAATTTGATAATTTGGTGATTAAAGTTAATCTAAAATAATAATATTAATATATTAATATTCTTCAGCACGAAATGATGCACTCCCTTGGGTTCTACCACGAGCACAGTAGATCGGACAGGGACATGTATATCAACATAATGTGGGAGAATATTAGACCTGAATATTATTCACAGTTTGATACTTACAGGTTTACTTTTTTATTATCCGAGAGAGGGTGACCGGAGTTGCATTAATCCATTCAGATCGTAAAAAAATTAATTAAAGGAATTGAGTCGTTGCAACAAACTCTGATTTTCTAATCTCTATGTCTTTTCAACCCAATGTCGTAGACCTTAGATATTTCAAACTATGAATTCTTCTAGATAAAAAAACCTAAGTTTGAAATATCAAAGGTTTTTGCCCTCCGGTTAACAAGATACTGGGATGGGAAAATCCGAGTTTGTGGCAAAGACTCAATTCCTTTAAATTAATTATTCAGATATTACAATCTATAAATGTCGAATTCAATTCGATGCATTTGTAAAGTTGATTTTTCATAATATTTTTATGCTCTTGGGAATATTTCCTCCCCCCGGAAAAGAAAAAAATGACTTGTTTCAATTTGTATTATTGACATCAGTTTACAAATTCCATTTCATATATGATCAACAACAGTCTAAGATGGACTTTAAGACCGTGTTTTAAGTCGAAGAGGAAGAGAATAACAAAAAATTCCCCTTTCCCCTTGATTATTATTTAACCACTTAACTTGTAAGTACGTGAAGCATGTAACTTCATCTGTAAAAATAAAATGCAGTATGTTTGTATACAACTAGCCTTAGAGGGCGCTTCGCGCCCATCTTCTAAATTAATTGTCAACATGTTCTCTTTGTGTACATCGTAAAACAAAACAAAAACAATTCGCGGATTTTCACAAAAAATTTCGTGGATTTTAAAAATTTTAAAAAATTTAATGCAGATCGAATTTTGATGGAGACAAATATTTTAAATTTAAATCATTCATAAACCTTCCCTGGGGTCCCTAGATGTCCCACAAAAAATTTGGGCCCGATCGGTTCAGCCGTTTTGACGTTTATTGGATACAAACAGACAAACAAACAGACAGACAACCCAAATTTTTATATAGATATATCTACAATATTTAAACACTTAAATTCTGCAAATTATATCTCCAACTTTCGCCCTCTTAACCTTTCATTCTTTAATCCTACTTTTGGGCGTCATAAATAAAACTGGTTTTCTTCTACAAAAATGCGCACAAAATGATAATTGTAAATTTGTAATCTCTAGATGGACAACAGGGTACGGAGAAGAGTATGATTATACATCTATTATGCACTACAGTTCTAGAGCTTTTGTTAAAGATTATACAGGTAAAAAATATCTCTCTAAACTTACAATGATAAATCTCTTAAAACAAGCAAAATTGCATCTCAATTTACAAAATTGTTAAATTGTTTCAGTTTAACCTGGCTTGACCATTAATTCTATCACCTGTACGTTAGATAATAAAAGCAGTATTAAAACATCTGCTGATGTTTATCAGTTTATCAATGCAATTTTATCGGAAATCACGTTTAAAAATATCATTGTTACTGTTACGAAAAAAAATATAAAAAATTTCTAATTTCAAAGGAGGAAGACATTAGAGCATAAATTACTTTTTTTGCAATTCATTTCCTAATTTTTAGATTATTTTTATGCCTAACATTGTGTTGAAATGGTTAAAACGTATGGCAGCTTGCAGGGGGATTGATTCTAGGGCTAGGCAAAGTTCCGTTAACGAAAAGGAGGTTTTCGAAAATTAACGGAGGAGTCCGTTAATGAACGGCAAAAACCGTTAATGAAATGGAATAGTCGTTTTTTGAAAAAAAAAAATACGATTAAAAACGTTAACTAAACAGCTAAAAACAGTAAATTTTGTTATTTTCTGAAAAAAATTGCGTGAATTTTTTTAGAAAATTAAAAATAATTTATGCTTTTTGATGTCTTTAAATGTCGTTTTCTGTGTTTATAAACAGTTGAAAAAAATTGTACGCTGTTAATACTGTAATATACCGATAACGGCATGGCAGTTAACAATTTTTAACAGTTAAATAAATTTCTAATGGCCAACTGAAATTTTTATTTTTTAATGGTTGGAACTAACAGTTAACGAAACGACTAGAAAAAACTTGGTTTGTGCCCAGCCCTGATTGACTACACAAAAAAAACTTTCCAGCATTTAATTTTCAGATTTATATTAAATTTTTTAATAATATCTTTTTTAAGATAAGAATTTGAAGTCGCTTGAGCCGAAAAATAGTAACTTCAACGCCAGCAATCTGGGCTGGAAAGAAGATCTAAGCGAAATAGATAAAAGAAAGATCAGGTAGGATTTTTGCATAAAAATAATTTATTGATGATTTTAAATAATGTTGTAGTTTATTGTTTAACTAGTAAATCCAATTGTTGATGTTTTTTCTCTCTTTTCAGGAAGATGTATAGATGTGAACCATATGCTGATTACAAAAGCACGTGTTCAACGGACGAGGAGTGCGGCATAAACGAGTACTGTGCACCCCTGGTGTCAGAATGCAGAACTAAATTACCTGATGGTTCTATATGTTTAGCAGAAAGAGACTGTTTAAACCATTGCAGTGGAGGAGTCTGCTCTAAATGTGTTTCCGGTAAAAAATAAATCTTAAATATTGAGAATTAAGTAATAAAAAATGTCATTTCTGAAAGCATTGAAATTCTGGAGATATCCTAGCAAGTATAGCTTAGGGTTTCCACCGGAATTCCGGGTTACGGTTTACGTACGGAAATGATCCGGAAATTTTTTCCATTTCCATTATGGAAAAGGTTCTTTTACGGTTTCCATTCCGTAAACCGGAAATTTTTCCGGTTTACGAAATTGAAACTGGAAATTTTACGGTTTCCATTCTGTAAAACGGAAATTTTTCCGGTTTACGTGACGTAAACCGGAAATTTTCCGGTTTCCATTTATACCAGAATTATCCCGGAATTCCGGTTTACGCAACAAATTTCCGGATCATTCCATTTCCAAAATGGAAATTTTTTTCCAGAAAAATGGAAACCCTAGTATAGCTATAACCTCAAATTTCCAAACAAGAACAATAAAAATTCCAATCTAGACGTTTGCATATATTGGATATAGTGCTAATGAAATAATCATGCAAACATTCAGTGTTTAAAAAACAGCTACCTGTAGAAACTATAAAAAGAAGAAAGATATAACAAATAAAAAAGCTTCTCCAGAAATAAAGCACAGTAGACCCCTAAAACTGTGGAATAGAACGACAACTGTTAGACTAAATTGTGAATGTTATTTTGATAGGCCAATTTGACCTTGAAACACAGCAATTGTGCAGTGCACCTGCAAATGCCCATTTAATTTAATTGAAACTATTTGATATAAAAATATAAATGTCGTTTTATGGGTTCCACGAGGGGGGGAGTCAAGGGTTCCACAACGAGTAATCACCGCCACCCAAATGTGTTTTGCGGCAAGCGCGCTCCTCAATTGGTAATCACCGTAAAATTTAAACTAAATTTTCAAATTATTTTCAGATTTGTTTGGTCAACAAAAACTGAGAATTAAGGCACAATTCATTATAGCCGAATCTTAGATCCAATTCGCCAATTTAATGACTGCATTTCATGATTGGCGTTAAGATACTAAAAGGTCGGGCTGCCTGTTTACTAAAAATTATCTCATCCCACGCAAAGTAATATCCATCTCCATTTAAAAGATATTTTCAAAAAACCTTTACAGTGTTTAGATTTTTGTATTCGCCTACTTGAGTTCAACGTCTACAACAAAACTAATTATATGCATAGAAAGAACATAAAATTTCGAAAAATTAGTCTCATCCCACCCCTACTGAAAATGAAGTGTTTAGTCCACTAATAATGGGTTAAAGTTTCCTCTCTATATAAGGAGTTTACAACATAACATTCAGAGGAAAATGCCGCAAACATTCTTAAAGCGAAACTTGAAACTAAAAAAACGTAATATATTTCTAGCGCAAATTTCTAGTGTGGCAAATTTATGGATTTATTTTCGAAACTAAGGAGCAATAAGGAAAGCTTTAACAATATTGTACACCATAGGGCCATTAATAGAGGTCAATATTTCAAAGAAATAACCGATTTAATGTTACGCTTATTTTGGCTGATTACCAATTGAGGAGCGCGCTTGTCGCAAAACACATTTGGGTGGCAGTGATTACTCGTTGAGGAATTCTGGACTCCCCCCTCGTCCTAACCTCTGCTCATTTTTTGGACCAAAATTTAAAAATAAAATTTAAAATGAACATTTTCTTTTAATCAAAAGATGTAATTGTACAATATTCAATACCTTTCTAGCTAATTAGACTGATTCTCGAAAGTATAAAAACGTCCCATATATTCCATAATCTCTATTCCCTAAGCCAACATTCCTATTCCCTATTTCCTAATCCCTATTCCTTAATTTCTAATGGCGCTACGACATTTGCTCTATTTCCATTTGCTCTATGGTCATTTGCTCTAGTTCCATTTGCTCTATCAAGTCATTTGCTCTATACGTCATTTGTTCTATACGTCATTTGCTCTATATTCAATCTGCTCTATGACTAAACACGTCATTTGCTCTATAACTTAAAAATACACTATAAAATAGCTTTTATTGGAATTCCTGAGCGTAACTTGACTATGAAATGCGGGAATTTTTTTTGGAAAATTTGCAAATTGCAGTTTTCATCAGTTCTTCAAAGTCCATCATGACAGCGAGACTGGTTCTTGAAACTTGCTCCTGGTTCTGCTAGGAAACAATACTCAAAGAACAAGGAAATGTTAATATTTAGCTTGGTCTCACAATATGCACAAATAGCAGACAAACAAAACTATCTCCAGGAAGTTGGTGGAATAATGAAACTGTAGGAAGAATTGTAAAATGTAAAATTGTAGAAATATAGTTTTAATATGATTAGATATTTATATAAATATGTTTATAGAGCAAATGACGTGTTTACTCATAGAGCAAATGTTGACGTATAGAGCAGATGACATATAGAGCAAACGTCGTGATCTATGAGCTATAGAGCAAATGGTTAATAGAACAAATGGAACTAGAGCAAATGACCATAGAGCAAATGGAAATAGAGCAGATGTCGTAGCGCCATTTCTAATCCCTAATCCCTTGACTGCCATCTGCCAAATGAATTTAGTCTTTGCCACAAACTGCTATCTGCCAAATGAATTGAGTCTTTGCCACAAACTCAAATTTTATAATTCCAATATCTTTGCCACCTTTAATTTTTTGATCTCAGATTATTTGAACTAACAGAGTTTATAGTTTGAAATATTTAAGGTCTACGACATTGGGTTACAAAGATATAGGGATTATAAAAGCAGAGTTTGTGGCAAATATTAAATTCCGTTCTAACATGTTTTAGATTCTGATTGTGGAGAAGGATCTTACTGTGCCTATAAATATATTCCTGCAGTACAGAATGAATGTTCCTCCTACTGTGGATCATTTTGTTTTTTCTCTGCTCAGTGTCAAGGAGCCTGTACAACCTGCTCCTGGTCTTTTCTATGTACCTAATCATTAAAGGGACCGGAAGGTAATTTCAAGGGATAGCCTAAATGGCAAAGATGACAATGCCCGGGATATACTACGGTTCTCTTGAAACCTTTATATGGTCCATAATGTGGAAGATATTGTCATTTTTCTAGGTTTGAAAGTGATTAACTCTGATAATATGTTTTCCTGTAGTAGAAATGAACGAGTAAAATTTGTATAGAAACCACGATTGAAAAGAAGTAGTTTTCAAAATGATTACCATTAATATCTAATTCATTTTGATCAAGCAAAGCTTTTAAGGGTACCGTTGTGAATCAGGCATTGCCATATATGCCTTGAAGGTTACTTGAAATTACGCTTAAATTCCTTTCAATAGTTTCAAGCAAACCATATTAATTGGGAACCATTATTTTTTTTTAAATTACACATCTCAAATCGAAAATTAAAATTTTATCCTTTATAAACTTTTGCAGGTTTGTTACTTAAAAAGGTTCAGTCCCCCTTGCGTTGCTGCATTCCTGATTTATTAAAAAAGTTTATCAACTTATCAAAAAATACTTACCTAATCTTAAAAGCAATGTACAATGGAAGTGCTTTGAAAAATATTTAGCTTACATGTATTACAAAAATCAAAAAGTATCATTGTCACTAAGTATCTTAAAAGTATTTTTAAACCTGTAGAATTATTCAATGTACGTATAGTTAAAAAAAAATCTGACATGTTTTTGTAAATATGTGCCAGTGTATTCAATAAAGTAACGATTATATTTTGCAGGCAAGGGCGTATACAAGGGGGGGGGCGCATGGGGGCAGTACCCCCCCCTAGAACTCAGAGCTTTCACACTTTTCAAATCTTGAACTCAAGAGCGAAGAACATTAGTTTGCTTTTCATTCAGTGCACTAAGATTGTATTCGTGGACCAGAGCCACCATGACAGAAGTCCGAATGAAAAATCTATTTAGAATGCACATTCATCCTCGGATGGGCGCTATCAGGGATAGCGAAATAAAACAACTATTTTTAAATGCCAAGCCAGTGCCACGAAGGCTTGAGTTTGGAGGTAGTAAAAGGCCAGTTTTTTTTATTTAGATTTAATTCACTTTATTCATTGCACCGCCGTTTTGTAATCTTTCTTTTTATTACTAACTAGCTGAAGTGCCAGGCGTTGCCCGTGGAATTTTAAAAATCGAATTAAAACAAAGCTTAAATAATTTATTTAGCTTATGTCATTCCCAAGGGTATCATGATTTGATTCAGCCGTTTGGCCAGCAATAGCAAAGATATAAATGAACGAAGAGCTTTTTTATATTTTGCAATTTCACTCCTACTTTTTAGCCTAGGGTGGTGCACTCGCGCCGAAAATTTTTTTTGTGCACCGCCCTAAAGGTTGATGTGTACCCCCTAAAAAAACCGGTATCAAGAAAAAAATAAAGTTTTAAATCTATGTTAATCTACCTGATAATATGCCTTTTTTTGCTAGTTTTGTTTGAAGGAGAGATACATGCAAGGTAATTGGACTGTATATTAGGAAATTACCCCTGGTTATGTACAAAATTGATAGAACGGGGGGGAAACAAAAAATTGTAACAATTTCAATAACAATGATAATGTGCATGCTTTGGGTCCGTCAAAGTAAACAATTTTTGGACCCCCCCCCCCCCAGTTCTATCAATTTTGAACATAACCAGCAGTAATTTCCTAATATATGTTTTTTTTT